AATGCACCTATTTGCATAATTTTGTGAGCATTATATGAAAAGTTATTTTTATTTAAATATTTTCATTTAGGTGATGCATTATTTTTGATCGCCACTGTAGATCAAATCGTAAAATCAAGTGGCGCTTAATATTAATTATCATTTGATTAAGTTAAAGGGCTTATTAGATCCAAGAAAGATTACTAAATAAAATATTAAAAAAATTAAAAAATACCGACAATTTGAAGAATTTCTAATCATAAAAGTCTTTCAAAACAATAAAACAAAAATTTGCTTTTCAATACCAAAAGACACTAATCACTCTTTTTATTTAGTTATAATATTACTTTCTAATAATACTATTTTTCAAATAATTATTAGCTGCTCTCTACATTATTTAGTTTTTTGTTGATATCTTCGATCAATATAAGGAATAAGGAATAAACATCACCAAGTACTTCATTATCAATCAACTAGTTAATAGAACTTTGATGAATAATAAAATTATTTATTTCATATCATAAAGTATGATTCTTTAAATTTGATGATGTAATACAAGCTAATTAGGTTAGTATGTTATAAATTTATAAAAAAAAAAAAAAACAAAAATTATTTATCAATATAGTTTATTTTGTAAATTTTTACTATATATTTAATATTAAAAATTTTATAAGTAGATTATTAATATTTTTAAATTGAACAATTATAAAACCCTTAAATTGAAGAAGACCGAAATGGTGGTCTGATACTCTACAGAAATTATTTTATTTTATTTATTTTTTACTATTTAAATTTTATTATTAACAAGTAACCAATTATATATAAAAATAATAAATATGTACAATTCAACTTTATTTAATCAAACAATCACATCGCAAATTTTAATTTTTATTTATTAAGATCGAAAATATATTATTATTCATATATGAATAAAAGACAAATTTAATAATTTCTAATAAAGTTGTAATATTTTCTAATTATATCCTAAATTTAAATAAAAGAATACGTATCATTATTAACTAATGGATATTTGCGTTTGTTTATCTTTTGGTATATTTCAATTTTATAATAATTTCTAAATTACATACCTTCAAATTAATTTTCAGCTGAATGATTATAATTTCATTCCTAAAAATGTTGGCCTTTTAAGATTTTCTTTAAACAAGTATTCTAACTTCCATTTTGCAGTTTCATCATGGATGTATATTTCTTTCAACTGCGTAAAAACTTTGTTCCATTACTAACAAATGATTATCTTCTTTATTACCAAATTGATTTTTACGATTGCTTAAATCAATCCAATTTGTACAGTGGGGTATCAAATTCACCAGGCACTTAAAATTAGAAAATCGATGGAAAAAAGTTCTTTCAAATTAATAATTCAATTATATTACAGGATATAGATAAATCATAAGATACAGAAGAACAAATTACTGAAATAATAAATAAATAATAAAGAAAACCTTTAGGATTAAAGAAGAAAAAAGATAATTTAAAAATATATATAAAAGTTATACATAAATTCAAACAAAAAAAAATTAAAGAAATAAAGATATGAAATATTTGTATAATATATATTACTAAAAAAAATTAATAGAAATAACAAAGAAGAAATATGAGATTACTAGAAAAATTAAGGAAGAAGAAGAAATATCTAAAAATAGAAATGATGTTATAATAATGTAAAAATAAAAATAGGAAAAAGAAGAAATAGGAATATGAAGAAGCAGAAGAATTGAAAATATAAAAAATTGGAAATAAGAATATAAAATAATAAAGAAGAATAAAAAATAATAGAAATTTAAAAAATAGTTATGATATAATAATAAAAAAATATTAAAACAATTAGGAATTAAGAATAGAATTAAAATTAGAAATATGAATTAGAAATCAATAATAAGAATTAAAAATTAAAATAAAAATCTAAAATAACAATAATTTAATAAATTTATCAAAGAAAAAAAAGCAAAATAATCAAGAAGATTTATCTTATTAGAAAATGAACATAAATTACTTAAACTGAAAATTGAAAAAAAAACATTTTATTAAAACAAGAGTTACTGAAGTAGAAACACAAATATTAAAAGCTAAAGCTAAAAGTTAGAATTAGCAAATATTTAATAAAGAAAGAAATATGAAAATGAATAGAATTCATAAGTAAATTATATATAGAAAATTATTTTATTTTTTATAAAATTTAAAGTTTAAAAAAAATAAAGTTTATAATTTTACAAAGTTACTTTTATTATTTATAATTGATTTATTTTAAAAAAAAGTTAATAATTTTTTTTTTTAATAGACTTCATAATAATTTAGAATTCAATATTTATAGAAATTAAATAAATTTTAATTAGATTTTTTTAAAAAAAAATCATTTATTAACTCTTTTTTAATAAAATTTATCTCTAAATAATCTGTTAATTAAAGAATCTAATATTTATAAAAGGATAAATAATATTATTAGTTAATTTATTTTATATTTAACAATACTTTTTTAATACATTAGTAAATTTTTTTAAGCATAGGATTACGTAAGATTATACGCTAATTGCAAGGTTATACAAATTTGTGTAAATTTACATAACCCTCTATAAGTTTTATATAAGTTTTTTATAAATTTTTAATTAAACTTTTAAATAATATATCATGACATATAGTAAACTTATAATGATAGATTTTAGCTTGTTAGAATCGTCTCATTAAAATTGAATGATAATAATTATAAATCAATAGCTTGAATATTGAAGAAGTTATTTCGTCTTAAAAATTTAGATGTTTGTTAATATATCTTACCATTTAATAATTCTATAATGATTTATTTTATTTTGTTAGATTCCTCTTATTAAGGTGATTTGAATAGTGGTAATTTTATGTCAATAAGACTGATATTGACTGAAATATTGCGATTCTAAAATTTTAATTTAAAATCTTATAAAAATTTATGTAAAACTTACAGAATGTTTCGCAAATTTACACAAATTTGCATAACCTTGCAACAGTATATAATCTTATGTAATTCTACGCCTAAAAATATTTTCTGATGTAGTAAATAGGCCAATCAAATCTCTTAAAATCTTTACTATAATCTTATAACAAAGTTGAAGTCTAGGTAAGATTACTTGTCTAAACTCATTTTAGATTTGGCAAATGTCTAAACTATATTTTTGCTAATTTTTTACTAAGATTTTAATATAGTTTTACATTTTTATAAACTTTGATATAGTATTATCTTTTCTAAAATTTTGCAGATTTTTTAATAATAACTTCACTAAATTTTATCTTTTTCCATTTAGATAACTTGCAAAACCTTTAGATTTTATTTAGCAACCTTAAGTCTAGAATATAGAGTTTATTATAATAAGAGTTTATAAATTTTAATTTTTGGTTAGCTTAATTAAAATCATACAATTTTAAAACTTTAATTAGTAGTATTTTAATAAAACTGAATCAAGATAAAATATGTTTTATTTTCAATCTACTTAGTTATAAAATATTGAAGAATTTGTAATTTTATTTGCAAATATGTTAATTTTTTATAAAAAACAATTTATATTAAAAGAAAAATAAAATAAAAGAAAAAAAATTATACAAATAGAATTAGCTAGTAAATTGTATATAAAGGATTTAAAAAATTGAGGATATTGAATTGATATATAATGTTTCAAAAAAAAGAAGGAATTTTATTTTACATGAAAAAATAATATATGCTTTGTATAATCAAAGTTATGATGATAATTATTTCTAATATCTTTTCAATGCAAAAGTTATATAAACTTAAATAAATTTTCTTTAATTTAAAAGAATGATTTTTAATTATATGCATTTTTATAAAACCTTAAACTTAATAATGAATTTATCAAATTTTTTTATCAAATTGTAGCAGAAAATTCATTTGGTAAGTTGAATAATAGATTTGTAAAATAAGAGAGTTGGCTAGAATCATTTAATTATTTTGATGATAGATGATTATAAGTAAGTTATTTATATTATTTTAAATTTATTAATTTTATAATGATAAATTATTAATATAATTATTACTCATAAAATATGGATTTGCAAAAAAATTAGACCTTGTTATATTAGGATTTAAAGTAAGTTGTGAAATTCTTGGAGTTATGGGTTGATAATTATTTGTTTAATGAAGCCATTTTGTAAATAAAAAAAAAATTTCCTATTTCCCCCAAAAATGGGTTGCACAAAAAAGATCTGACCAATCAAACCAACTCAAAAAACGGTTTAACGTTGCAACCTTTTTCAATGTATTTCAAAGAAACTTTAAAATTTTAAGATGTCTAAGGATAATTTCATTTAGTGAAGTTAACCCTTTATCTAACATTTAGAGAGATATTTAGCGTAGAGACCCATTAAGCAAGTATTATTTTATAAAACGTGAAAATTAACAAATTTCCGTTCAGGTTTTATTTCATAAAATCAAGGATATTATAGAGATATTTCGACTTTCGCTTCATGTTTAAAAAAGTTTATTGTTTACGAAAAAGTTAAAATACAGTACGTTAAAAATATATATAGTTATATAGAAACAAAAAATTTAAAGATATTGTAAGGATGTAAAGATAAGCGCGGTAAAAACATTCTGCTTATAACACGCGAATAGGTAAAGTTACATAAAATATACAAGATATAAAATTTAGTTGAAAAAATTGAATTTAAATTATATGAAGTTAAAATGGTGGATTTCTATGTCCACGATCACGAACACGATCACGAACACCACGACCACGACCACCACGACCCCCACGATGGTTATTTTGGTTAGGATAATAACTTCCTGCAGAGACTCTTCGAACTCGATCAATAATACCATTAAGAGCATTAATATTCTTTTGCCATTCTGCGCGATTACTAGCGACCGATGGATCTTCACCTAATAAACTCTCCAAGTCTATTTTGTTGGTTTGATCTGCTTGATTTGTCGGTTCTGGTCCTAATAGTCTGAAATGTGTACGTAAATGCATTCCTAACCGGATAGCGAATTGATGTACGAGATAATATTCTACTATACGTGGTACGATCTCTCGAAATTTTGAATGTGACATTTTCCAATACGCTAAAGCTCCCTGGAAAAAAAAACAAAGAAATATTAATATTAATTTTTGACACGTGATCATACGCTAAAGAACGTACCGTAGCAGCAAGAAAAGCATGTTCCTTGATGGTATTCCTTAGAATACTACGATTTCTGGAACTGTCAGATTCGGGAATTACACGAATAAATCTATCCAAATATGAATTTTTTATAGACAACATCACAGACATAGAAACATTTGATTGCTGCGCTTCTGTTGCAAGATCCAGTTTTTCTATATCTTCCAGTACTTTTTTAGTTGACTCATTATTTCTGCCTTCACGCTGCGAAATAATATCGATTAAGTCGATTAAATCGGTTTTTACTTTTTCAAAGTCTTCTCTATTAGTGTCATTATCATACATCATGTCAAACAATTTAGTCCCTAATTCAAGAACTGCTTTTAAGTCTTGATTCGTTCGTTTTGTGCCTGCTGCCAAAACTCGAAGCTTGATAAAATACTCTGATTGCTTTTTCATAAGGGTGGCTTCATCAGTTACATAAAGAGCCCTACTAGCCGAAATATGCTCCATCTCTTCAAGATCTTTAAGATGTTTTGATGTTTCCTCTTTGCACTTTCTTAATAAATCATGTAAAACGTTTCTATCATTTATTTTTTTTAAAAGAGAAAAAAAAAATTTGCGTAAATTATTGTCACAAATCACGTGTAAACGCGTAAAAAAAAAAAATTACTTACTTGATTTCTCCAATAACATCCGGAAATTCTTTAAAAGTGTCTTCTATTAGCTCATCAGTAAAACGAGCAACCCAATCGTGATTTTTATTCAATAATTTGATAGAAATCGGAAGCCAATCCGTTTGATGTTTTCCAACAATAGAAACTACGGCTTTATATGGAAAATAACCAACCAATTGTCCACCTTGTTGGTCTTGCACAACTTCATAAAGTTGATCCATTGTCCACAAATATTTTGAATCGCTGGCATGTTCGTCAAAGTCGAATTCTTTCCAATCTTCAGCTGAAAATTCTTTCCTCCATTGTAATGCACCAGGCTTAATGGGATCAAAAACTTCGGCATTCGTTTCTCCTCCGTCAAACGAGAGTATATATATAGGACGAGTTTTTAATAATGTTTGATCAAATTGACCAAAGTTCGATTGTTGTCCACGATATAATTTATGGTCTACATTTTCGGCATTTGCGTGAGAGGTGAACGATTTATCAAAGATTCCAATTAATTCCGAGAAACGTATGATTGGGTTTTCATTAGATCTATGCGGAAGGTTATTTAACCTTTTCTCAAAATCATCTCTACAATCTTCCAAATGGGGTTGTATCCTTGGCCAAGATCGTTTATGACACTGTTCTTGTAATTCCATTAATTTCATGACCAAATTTTGTAAACCAAACATATTGATTGGTACATCTTTCCAAGCTTTGTGTTTTTTGAGTTCCTTAATCGTCTCGTTTTCCAATGCATCATCCGAATCTTCTGGTTCTATGCTAGATCGATTTCTTATAATATAAACACCATTTGTACACTGATATTCTCCTTTACTTTTTACTAGTTCAGCGAGTTCCAAATGCTTATCGTCATCATTTGGGTAATCCATGATACGATCAATTTTTGTCAAGGCACATACGGTACGCAAACCATCCGGATCTGCATCACATGCAAGTCGCAACGCGCATTGCGTACTAATATCGGCGGTTGCTTGAAATATTGGTACTAGAATTGCCGAGTCTCTTTTAATATATTCCTCCACCAAGGACATTATAAAACTTTCGTTCGATTCAACGTTTCGCACGAAACCTGAATATGACGATCAAGCGGATCAAACGAGGTGCGAAAAAAAAGAAAAAAAAAAAAGTCAAGCAATGGAATGTAATGAAAAAAAAAATGATTTTTTTTTTTTTTTAATTTACCTGGTAAATCAACCAAGGAAAAATTATAATTTTGCGCGGGTCCACCAATTGTAAGACATACGGCATTTTTTGTAAAAGATAACTCATCATTATTTGGTTCGGGCAATCGCGACTTGATATCTTTAATACTTGGGTTTAGTACATAACGTTGAGCATCACGTAATTTTTTTTCGAATTCCGATTTATACGAATTGGTTAGATCGGCAAATTCCACCTCTCTCGATGTCATCGATCTATGATTTTTGTCCTCTATGTAACGTAAAGTGATTTTACGTATTGGCTCCCCGGATTGTATCATGTGTATTTCGAAAGGCGCTCTTGTGCACAACGAAGTTCCACTGCACATAACAATAATGTTTTATCAAATATCACTCACATATGCATGAAAAAAAAAAGAATTATAATAAAGATTTTTATTACATTGGGACTGGTAAGCCACCGGTAAACCTTTGCATGAGGGAACTTTTACCGCATGATTGATCACCGAATACGACAATTGTTGGAGTATTTTTTCTTTCAAAATTATCCAAGTGATTGACTATCCCGAGGTTACTTATATCGTCCATAATATCGATATAATCCCTCGCACTTAGAGTTTCCGATGGTGGTAAATGAAACATGTTGGATTATAAGTGTTGAATTCGTCGCGTCGTATGGAAAAAGAAAAAGAAAAAAAATCTAGAAAACAATTTTTGAGTTCCAAAAAGAAGAGAATTTTTTTAAAAAAAATATTTTAGAACTATTCGAAACCCATGAGAAAAAATTAAGAGTAGTCTTTAAATTAGGAATACTTTCGAATACTTCTCACCAATGGCATGTGAGTTTTATCAGAGAGTATGGACAATCGTTCATGTGAATACATTTATTTTGGTTAGGTCATAGAATAATCAAAGTCAAATGATTATTTAATTAACTTTAATAACTTTGGTGGGAAAAACTCGTCATGTCGATCATTTTAGTTATTTTTTTTGCTGCACTAGAGCGTCATAATACATCAAACAATGACTTTAATAACAACAAATATAATGATAGAAGAAACGATAAGATAATTAAAATCATCAACCCAGTATGAAGGATAGAAGATGGAATATTTTAATATCTCGAGTGATTTAACTTATGCGATAAACAACATCCTCCGGATTTAATTTTTACACAAGCTATTTTCGATTGTAAATTTTTAAATTATAGATTTCAGTCATTAATTAACGTCGGATTGATGAAACAGTATTAACTAAAGTTGGAACAACAAAATCTCAATAACATTACTTAATTTTTAGTTTAAATGTCTAATATATATATAGAAGTTCATTGTTATGTATCGCATTTTTTCAGGGCCGGAGAATGCTAAAATTCCGACCTATAAATAAGATCTACATATAGTTCGATTAGTGTAAATATAAATATAGTGTCTAATTTTTTATCAGTGAAGTCGTAATATGGTCCAATTGTTAATACTAAACTTGTAAGGTTAAATATAAATCTAAATATTTCTCGCTTTATTTATTTGGAAAAAAAAAAAAAAAATATACATATAATTGACAGAATTTTCTATATTTGTTTCAATTCCATTTTCTTATCCATACGTTAATAAAATGCCTTTGCTCATCAACATAAGTTCCATATCAACTCAACACCTCTTCCATATTAATATTATAACAAAGTTTAAGGTTCTTTATGGCAATTTTATTACCATTATTCGCAGCCTTTATAAACCAATAAATAGCCATTTTTATATCCTTTTCAATTCCAAATCCATTATGATAGGAATAACCAACTTGTAACTGTCCCAGGGAAAAACCTTTGTTAGCTACATTTTCATAGTAATTAAAAGCCGTTTTTACATCTTTTGCAATACCATATCCATATTCATAGCATAATCCAAGATAACATTGCGCTAATATATGATCTTGCTTTGACGCATTAAAAAATAAGTTAAATGCATTTTCACCATCTTTACTTGTCCCGATTCCATAATAATAACAATATCCAAGTAAACAAATATAATTGGAACTATTTTTGTTATTTTTTAACCAATAGAAAATATCTTTTACATCAACCTTTTGATTATCAAGATAATCAAAAATATGTTGATTGACTGTTTTTTCTTCAATTCCTTTATTTCTTTCCTCAAAAATAAGATCAAATAATCTATCGACCATTTTATCTAAATTCTTTTCGGTTTCCTTAACATATCGTTCTTTTGGTGGCGTTAAGGTTTCTATCATTTCTTTTGGAATACTTTGCAATAACATTTCTTCAAGATTATTTAGTTCGCAATTCACTTGATCATTTTCTGTCATCATGTTGGTTTTCGTAATAATCACACTTAATTTATCAACTACTTGTTTCATAGTTGGACGATTATCTGGCTCATTATCCCAGCACTCTAAATATATATAAATAAAAATTTTATGAACCGAAAATATTATTATTTGCGTTATTGCAATTTTAATACATAATTCATTCATAATATATTTACCAGTATAAATGTTTACATAATCTTCAGGTGTACCAGGATTTTTCATTTCTCTAAGCCCTTGCGAGATTTCAATAGCTAAATCCGTGTCATAATGTTTTCCTTCAACATTAAAAGGAGATCGTCCACTTGAAATCTCCCACAAGAGCACGCCGACACTGTAGACGTCGCTCTTTTCGTTTAATGTATATTGTTGCGATGTATTGAACCTTTTTGGATCGACATAAGGAATTACACCAAAAACATTTGACTGTTGTTTTGATGCTTCTTCGATTCTTTTCGATAATCCAAAATCAGCTAGTTTAATGGTGCCTTGGTGAATTAAGATATTACTGGAGTGCTATTTTATGGAGAGAGAGATATATTAAATTATATTTCTGAAAAACAGTAAGTTTCATAATCAACAAAATAAAATACCAAATCACGATGCACAATTCCTTCGTCATGTAGGTACGATACGGCACAAGCCAATTGGAATGCCAAGTTATATTTATCTACCCAAATAAGTTTATCAAAATTTTCCATCAAATAGTTTCTAAGCGAACCGCCATCGGCATATTCCATCACTAACCAGTAACTAATCAATTGATCGTTTTGGTTTTCTAATACTTTTTATTGAAAAAAAAAATGATAAGAGTTAAAAATAAAATATAAAGTCAATGTATATCTTTAATTAAATACGAAAAAAATTTTTAAACCTTGACTTGAAGTTGTAATCCCATAAAAACGAATGATGTTGTCATAAAAATCAACTTCGCGTTTAAGTTCAAGCTAAATATAAAATGATTTTTTGATACATAAATGATTTTTATACGAAGGCCGAAATACATGATATATTTTGTAATTACCTCACGAACAAGTTCTTTAACAGTGGCATTGTTAAAGTTAAAAATAGACTTTAACGCGAGACGTTGTTTTGAATTTTTCCAATTTGCACGATAGACTTTGCCAAGGCTGCTAGTACCGATCTCTTGAATATTGCTAAAGTGTTTGTATTCGTAACATTTCATGTGTTTTTTAGAAATGGCTTCTTCAATCCAAGTATTCCACTCATTTGAATTATTTACAATTTGCATTTTGATATTTAAGTCTTGTAAAACATGTAACGGTAACGTTATTAAAATTTTAAGCCACAAGAGTCATTGATTCTTGTTTTTTTTTTTAATTTAATGTCAAATAATTGTTTATAAGGTAAACAAATATCGATATCGATCTTTTGTGTAAGGGAAAATCTATAAATTTAATAAATCTATAGATTGACAATCTAACCCAAATATTAAAAAAAAATTTTTTTTTTTTTGAAGATTTATGTTTCAAAGAAGACTTTACACTTCTTATCATAAATTAATAAAAGTTAATTACTTTTCTACTAATAATAATTTTATTCGATTAACAAGAAATCTTTCTATAATGAGCTCTCAACAAAATCACAAATTATGCATGATACCCGGTAAGAAACCTTCTAATATCAAACTTTTGAAAAAAAAAAAAAAAAAATTTACTCAAATTTTTTGATCATAGGACCCGTGGAATTTCATGAAGATGTTCTAACATCAATGTCAACAAAAGCAACATCACATGTATCTCCGTCATTTATTCCAGTATTTGGAGAAAGTATTGAGCTTTTACGTAAAGTATTCGTTACTGAACAAGGACAACCAATCGTTGTATCTGGGTCAGGTACTTTAGGGTGGGATATGGTAGCATCCAATTTGATTGAACCTGGTGAAGATGCATTAGTATTAAATTCAGGATATTTTGGAGATTCGTTTGCTGCATGGTATGTTAATCATAAGATGTAATGGTTTTTTTCGCAAATTTCATTTAATTGACTCAAATAACATTATAGTCTTAAAGTTTATGGAGCAAAAGTGACAGAAGTTAAATCAGAAATTGGAGATCGTCCAACTCTTCAAGAAATTTCTGATGCTTTATCAACTAAATCATTTAAACTTATTACCATTACTCATGTTGACACATCAACAGGGGTATTATCAGACGTTAAAGCAATTTCTGAATTAGTTAAAAAACAATCGCCAAATACATTAATTATTGTTGATGGAGTTTGTTCTGTTGGTTCAGAAGAAATTCGTGTTGATGAATGGAATCTTGACGTTGTTTTGACAGCAAGTCAAAAAGCCCTTGGTGTTCCTCCTGGCTTATCAATTTTAATCGTCAGTGAACGTGCTATCGTGAGTGGTTTTTTTTTTGGTTAATATTATTTATTTTTTTTTTTTTTAATGATTCATTTTAACATTGTTTTGATTTATAAAGCAAACCTTTAAGGACCGTAAATCACCAATTCCAAGTTATTATGCGTCCTGGGCTCATTGGCTTCCAAGTATGAACAAAATTATTTATTTTTTGTTATACCATACCATCTCTTTATCAACCCTTTTTATTTTTTTACATTTAGTTATGAATGCTTATGAATCTCGTAAAGGAATGTATTTTGCTACTCCTCCAGTACAATTAATTTATGCGTTAAATACAAGTTTAAAGCAAATCACTTCAACCCCACTTGAAACGAGATTTGAACAGCATAAAAAAGTTAGCGATCAAATTAAAAGTGTTGTCGAATCTTTGGGATTACAATTTGTAAGGAAAGATTTTATTTTCGATCTTGATTATATATAGGGACATTTATAATTTAATTAAAAGAAAAATGATTTTTTTTTTTTTTTTTTTAAATTAATTAGGTTCCTAAATCCAGAGAAGTCGCTGCTAATGGAATGACAGCTGTTTATTATCCCGAGGGTATTCAACCTGCTGATTTACTTCAGAAGGTCGCTTCACATAATGTTGTAATTGCTGGTGGTTTACATAGGGCTATCGCTACGAAATATTTTAGAATCGGGTATGTTTTATCATAAAAATGTTTTTGTTTTATTTTATTAGAATCAATTAATAATACATATAAATTATTAGGCATATGGGAATTAGCGTAACTGAACCTGAACGTAAACATATAGATAATACTATTACAGCTTTAACTACTAGTTTGAAAGAATTAGGTTATTCTGGAAATTAGGATTTTTATAATATAATGCAATGGATTGATTAATATAAATAAATCATTAATAGAATGAACAGATTAAACAAAAAATATTTCAAAAGTTTAAAACGTATTCGTAAAGGATTGACGATTGTTACAATTTTAATTCCTTATTTATTATCTTGTAAATCCCAAAAACGGTTTCTTTCTGTTGATTTCGCTTGAACTTAAATGCCCTAACAAGAAAATTTTTAATTACAAATTCAAATTAATTGATCGAGCATGAATACCAGTAAAATAACCGAAGTATTATTGCAACCACAAAATTACCAATTTGCGATTCAGAATATTAGTTTCAACGAACTTGTAAATTTGACGTAGTTAATTTAGTTCGGATTCTTGTCACCTTTAGTGGATCTTACTAGAATTCTTCTTTAATTCAAATAAAAATAAATTTTTATTCAAATTAATACAAACGCGTTTTTTTTTTTTTTTTTCTTTAAAGGAAAAAAAAAATTAAACTTTTATATTATAGAGTTTAGAAATTTGATCAATCTCTTGGATAAAATTCACATTTAAATTAAAAGCTAATTTTTTTTTTTTTTTTGTAAGAATTTTTGATTAATAACCGGGTATTAAATAATAAACCATTCTAGCACGTTTGAATTCTTATTTGCATATGGAAGAGCCTTTCTTTGTATCAAAAGTTAGTAAAAAAAAAAAAAGGTTTTTTTGTAGAACGACAGAAAGGGGTTGTAATATACAGGAGGGACCGTCCCATATAAGGATACGGTTACACAATTCAGATTTTTATTTTTTTATACAGTTTACAGTACTTTTTCGAGGGGCTGCGTAACCTTTCTCCGCCATAAAATGTGACCAAATTTATTAAGCAAACTTGAAGAATTCATACCATACTGCAATATATTTTTTTAATCCTTG